GTACGAGCTAGACACACCTGTTGTCCTAGACACATCAACGTATCAGAAGCACAACTGGTAGTACGATTGTCTGAAGATCTTGATAATAATGGGAACGTTGGAGGGGGATGAATGTGAGGTGGAGAAAAAATGGAAAAAAGGAAGGTGTAAAGCATTTTTTTCATGAATGAGGAGAACTGAAAGAACGAGTTATTGATTAAGCTGAAGTTCATTATTTGCAATGTGGGCTGTTGTACTACTCGGTCGTCCGGTCCAGAGTAGGCCTTGTTCCAGGATGCACTTTAGCCAAGCGCGAACTACAAGGCAACAGTATTGTGCCAGATAAGCCGGTGACCGGTCGGTTCGTTCATCCGCCTTCTCTGGAAGACCGTGTCGGGTAGATGGAATTTACTCATTGATTTATCGAGGGCCTAGACTGACTCCACTCATGCAATGAATCATGCTCACATTCACGTCTGAGCATGGTGACCGATTTATCGATTCATCTTGACATGATTCACTTCCGTAGCCGACCGACAGAGGTCAATGAACGCCGGGTTCGTTCTTTTGTGTCTATGACGCACACTCGATCAACGATCACGGACATAACATTCGCGGGTGGGGAGGGGGGAGAACAATTCATCTCACCCCACCGCTCGGTAACTCACTCGAAAAGTACTTTTGTTTGTTTACGGAGAAATTAGTTCATTCCGATTGGACGAGGTTTAGACAGACCCGGTCCAATCGGTGACGTTTGACGGCCGAAACACCAATAACCATCTGGGGTTCCCATTGGAATACGATTGGTTGGATTCACTGAAATTTACAACGGATTCACTGGTAGTTGAAAGGTATAGATCAGTGTAAAAGCTCTAACGCAAGCCACAGTTTCATAGTGCAATAATTCCTAGATTCTAGTACTGTCGAAGTTGTAGGACGTGATCCGACAAACTGACACATAAGCGTCTATTGATTTGAAATCCTCTCGGTTGACCGGATTTTGTATATTTTACGGAAATTTTATCTTTTACCTAGTTCAGTCAGTGGAATTGACATGAACAGGACAGTTAAGATGCGCAAGGCTTGAAACTTACCTCTGAGAATATACGTGAATTATTCGCTGCACCCTCGGGGGCCGCAGACGATGATAATTTTCCATGCCACAATTCAGCTTGTTTTTCTGCCCGTTCAATCTGTTCCAGTCCCGCCTCAATGTGTCGTGTTTTTTCTAACAGATCTTTCAGATTCGCCATCTGTGAACTGAGTGTTGGACAAAGGTGTTCCATTTGGGACTCAAGTTTGTTCAAGCGTGTCTGGCTTTCGCCTTCCGGTGGTTGTAGCGGGGGGCTGTTGGCGATCCGGACAGCGGTTTGTAAGTGTTCTTGTGCCTTTATGATGATGTTCATAGGGAAATGGAACGAGTTTGAGCTAATTGCTACTGAGGTAAGACCACGACGTGATGAATTTTGTCGTGTGCAAAGCAAAGGAAACGTGAATCAAAAAGCTTTAAATCACCGTGAAGATATTTCGACTTAGTTGAGTCCCACCACCAGTGTGAATGCATCAACCGAACTGGGATCGAATTCAAACTGACCAGTTAGAAAGCTGACATGCTACCCATTTCAAGGAGTGAGATGCTCACAACAAGCTTGTAAATATAGTGCGTACTATATTGTGTAGATATTAAGCTAAACTGTTTCATCAGTTGCCCTCAGATGATCAAATGGGTAGTGTGCTTGCTTTCTACCCATGATGTCCCCGAACTGTATCCAGATTTGGGTCGTCGATAGATTCGGATTGCTGATGAAACCCAACTAAATGGAAACATCCAAGAGGCGCTTTTTATTTCACGCTGCATTTGTCCTGTGAATAAGGTGTTTCTTCATTTCATCAAAGCAGATCATCTAGTGCGAATCTGTATGATGATTATTTGTTCGATATGAAAGAATAAAATGATGGTAGCAGTATTTCTCTTACATGGTTGTAGCTCCGATTGAACGTGAGTTTCATATTTTAACGAGATCCCATTCAGGTATTTTCATTCTGCTAGGGGCTCATGCAAAAGCTAATGCATCACACAAACAGAAAGATTTTATTCACAAACAAGTTCAAAAATGTACTCACTGGTATATGTATCCTACTTATTGTTGAAACGAACGGGTTCACGAGTTGAATCAGACGTTTTAAAATTCACTTCGTTCAAAAGATAATTGAGTAGGCAATAAACATATTGCTATTCCCGTTGCTTGGGTTTGCAATAAATCGAGGGAGATTCGGGGGCAAAAATAAAGATGAAAGTGGTGGTGTGAATACTATACCTTTTGCAAGTCAAGTTGTCCCAATATCATATCAAGATTTCCTCGGATTATTTCAAGTTGTCACATTGGCCTCACCGGTTCTGAAATGATTCCCGGACATCTTGGAATAATCCGGGGACATCTTGAAATGATACTGGGACAACTTGAAATAATGACCAGTCAACTTGAAATGATTCCCGGACATCTTCATATAATAGTGGGACAAATTGACTTGCAAAAGGTATAGTTACGTTGTGTATTTGATGTCAAGCAATATTGATCGCTGTTCTCGTTGTCTTTGTCGACGTCGACGGAGATACGCAATTGGATTGTACATCCTTGATCACCCTTCCTCAAGTGTGGTGGGTAGAATGAATCATGAGAACTGTCTCGTCATGTTGAAGGATCACACACACACACAGACATACATACACACAAATTAGTTCACCCACTAATCTAACCCGACCCTGTAATTGATACGATTTTATCATTCCTGAGTAGATATAGCAACCGTGTATACACACCGAATCCCGTGGAGTTTGATCCCGCACAAACGGTCTCCTAATCTACATACCTGTATTATTTGGGCTGTCCCCAAACGGTTCGAATCCTTCCATTGTCACGTGACCGAACACTCGAACGGTAAATATTTCTGTGTTAACTCCTACCTTCTCGATGACGATAAAACGTGAAACTATGGACTTCGGATACCCTTGAACTCACCTTAGTCTGTCCTGACATAATCTCATTCAAGCGGTCCAACAACTCATCCAAATGTTCACTAGTACATTTGGTCGGGGCCTCTTTAGTCCTGCGTTTGTCCGAAGGGATCAGGAAACCTTCCACTTTGCTCGTCCACTCTTCGATTTTGTCCAAATATTGTCCCAGTTCACGTTCTGCCTGAGCCCGTTCGTCCCGACGCGCTTTCTCCATGCGTTTGACCTCCACATTTTTTAGTTCTTCTATCTGTGTGTGCGGTTCGATGAGGAATGAGAAAAAATACCGGAACATATGCCGATTTGTTATTATCTTGACTTTCATTTATTTCGAGATTCTCAATTCGGAATGCACAAACAAGAAATTGATGATCAAACTGGAAATCGCCATAATATATTTCACATTGGAGAAACCTAATCGATACATTTGACTTCAAGCCAGCGGTAGTTAGAAGACAATAGTTTATTGAGCATTATGTCAAACATCCTGAAATGCCGTAAGTTTGTGGAGCAAAATTTAACGAAAGTCTCAGTGAATCACATTTTGGTTGTCATTTTTCACTGGCTGGGGAATAGTTAATAAATCGAACCAGGGAAAAGTAGGCTGGCATAAAGAGATTCAATTATTCAAATCTCAAGTTTCAGTTATCGTCCCCCTGAATGCGAGTACCAGGTACCGTCAGTTCACTTCATTCCCAGACTGATACCAGAGAGAGGTAGAGAGAGAGAGAGAGCAGGGGAGTTATGTAATCATTGAGCTAATAAGGGAATGTCCAGATCGAAGACGTTCACACACAAATAGCATATACAGTGGGGACGAAATGAAACATAGAGATGCAACTTGCCTGGATGCCAAAAAACATTTCACTACCTTGTTATTAGCGTACCACCTGATATGGGGCCCCTGACACTTTGAAGATACACCTAGCCTTATGCATACACTGTTTTGACATCTCTCAGACTTGATAAACTGAGTTTCTGAGTTGTGGCTTGTCTATTGTGTGCACGCATCGTTATCGGGAATTAGGATGAAGTGAGAGACATCATTGTTGGGCTAGGTGCAGACACTGAGAGCATATGTGTGTGAAGGAAAGTGGATTAGTATAAAGTTTGATTCCCTCATGGTTATGGGCTGGTATTGCTCAAATGAAGGCGGCCACACTCCGTTATACCTTTAAGCTCCTGGTTTATGACAACACAAAAAACAAACACTGAACTGGAACAGGTTGACTGTGGTTAGTTCAAAACGAATTATGCGGCCAGCAGAGGAAATACAGATCGATAAACATTGGTCCTGTCACTACTGTCGAAGTCGATAGCGAGACTGATCAGTCAGGTGACATCCGATGCGAGTGATCTGCGGCACGATTTGAGTTGTCATCACTGTCTACTTCAATCGGCTGAATGTTGATGGAAAACCGATATCCGAAATATGTGAAACATCCTTTTCCCTTTATCCATTTCATCAACACAAGAATACATGTGTGGGCAGAATTGATATTGTCCGTTCATTTCGCACGCTCTCATTCACCTGTAAACGCACATTTATTTGATAATGTAAAACGAAGGAACATAAGAGTTAAAATGAGTCATTTGAACAAGCTAGTGGTGGTGGACAAATGAGTTGCTAGATTTATGTTTTGTTAGGGGTTGAGGTCAAGTAGGATGAGAAAATTTGATGTGGAGGTGAACTGGTCCGAACGATATGGTGAATGTGGTGAACTAGGGAGGGGGGAGGGAGGTTCATGTCACGTCATGCTATGGTAGGGTGGTGTCAAGTCTGACATTATCACTACCACGATAACAACAGTTGCGTCAAATGTTTTTTGAACAAAATTGCGGTTTCAAGCGATGGACTGTTATCGCTTCTGAGAATTGCAATGTCTGTGAACTTCGAGGCCTCGCAATGACTCATTACTTTTGGGTGCGTCTACATGGTGACCGGAATTTTTAAAAAATGACGGGTAATCGCACTAGGTGGTAGTTTCCCTCCGCGAAGACCAAGGTGTTTCAGAATATGTTCACACATTCGGGTCGATAAACGACGTTCTGTCCTGCCGATGAACCGTTGCCCGCAGGTACATTGAAATGAATAGATACAGTTGAAGTTAAGACTAACGTCTTCTCGATCCAGATTAGTGCATGTGAGACAACGAAACGTTCCGCAGACAATCATTTGGCTTGCGGCATTGTACGTCCTTTTCACGGCGTGTGTTAAACGTCGAGATATATTTGTTATTACATCATCTTCCTTGAAAGGCAGTTCTATACAGACATCTTTCTTTTTAGCCAATAGGGAAATACCGTTGGAGTTGATCGGCTTGCTGTACTTGTGAATGAATGTGATGGGATAACCATTATCCAGCAAAGCATGGCTCAATCGGTCTAGTTCATCTGGCAGGACTTGCGGACTACAAAGTCGGCGAATCCTGTGAAACACGCAATAGTGCAATGAATTCCAATTTGCAGTCCCAAATCCTACTCCATTTCTCCTTACTGACTTTGTTTTTGGAAAAAAAATCTGATTAGGCGTGATTCTTCGTAGCTGTGTGGTAGAAAGATCAGATTTATTTACAGTTTTGTGAAGCATTCGGTGCAGAGACGACCATTTGAGGACCAAACAGACAATGTATGTGAATAAAGCTCATTAATTAGTTTTTGTTTGATTCGATTGCTCATCGTGTTTACAGACCTGTGAGGTGACATGAACGAGGTGAACCGCGCAAAAAATGATAGGAAGATCTGCTGTTGACTCTGCGGGAATTCGAGCCTTTAGATCTCACAAAAATACAATGCATTGATTTCTGCTGAAAGACACAGGAATTCCCATACCTGCTCGTTTAGATGGGCCAGACGCTTCCGGAACGACTGAATCTGATTGTGATCTCCGGAAGCACCGAGCTGTGTGGCTAACGTTTGAGCTTCTTTGACCCATTCGTTCAGGTCTTCCCGGTCCTCCGGAGGTTGGACTTGGGACAAAATAAGACGTTCAGCTTGACCGAGAGCACGCTGCAATGAAACAGATGGTAGGAAATGGTAAACGTACAATAAGTTCTGGAATGGAAATANCTAAGCAATGTTAACAGAAGAATTCAGTAATTTAGTTTCAATCTATCGTCACTGTTACAAATCTCTCAAACCGTCTGGGGTTCGACCAAGGACCTGGTTGGTAGACAGGCCATCTGAGTACTGCCCATTGGAACATCGTGACCTGTAATTGGTCAGGAGGAATGGGGGGAAAGGGAACTATGGAGCCCTATTTCGTGAGGCGTGTACACAACAACAATCCAGTGAAGAGATAATGCATACGGTAAGCGCAGACTACGCATATTACTGCTGTGTCTATGCATAATTGCACGAGTCTGGTGTGACAAGCGGATCTATGACGCTGTGGATAGGTCCAGATTCAATCACTCAAGCAATGTTAACTAGACAGTCTGTTCTGAGTACATGATTAACGAACCGAAGACAGGGTTTCCCTCTGGACGCCATCTCTGTTTACCATTCACGTGTTTATTTAATTGACTTTACATCTCAGATCACATCCTTTGCATGTTACTTTCGCACGACCATATGCTACTAGGAGATATCCATAGACACTCTTCGGCTTTTACATTGGAGTTTGCAGCTGCGGTCTTCATCTAGCCAAGTGCAACTTGAAAAGGTTTTCTTAAATAAATAGCTGACCACTAGTTGCATTGTTCGGTCTGGAATTGGTCGAGTTTATGAAACGGAACAGGAGACAGTGAACATATCAGTGATGGATGACATTTACCAAATCACAGTACTGTCGTCAGACACTGGTAGTGTGTTGAACAGATAAGATGTGCCTGGCAAACGAGAACCAACCATATCCCGAACGCAGACTGCCCTCATTCGTTCATGGTAGCTCATTCAGTGAACTTGTGTCAACGAATAAAAAGTAATATCGGTATCCTATAAATTCATAAAACTATTGTGCCAGAAAATACAAATCACTAACTTCAATCTTATCCGAAAGCATGTTAAACTTGTTCCATATATCCAGACGTTTTTTCAGAGCCAATCCCGTTGCATCTAACTGTTTCAATTTGTTCGCATTCCATTTCTGTTCGCACTCCCGTTTCCATGACCCCACCACTCGGAGTGCATTCTTCGGCAGACGGCTCTCGTCCAAACGAGCCAGTTGTTCTAACAGCCCGTACTGTCTGTTGAGATCGGTTTTTGCTTGGTCCAGTTGCTCCGGGATATTCTCTATTTGAGTACAGCTCTGGAACAAGATGATTGGAGGAATATGCGAATAAATGATGCACTTTGTTCCCATAGATTGCGGTTTTAATAGCAAAATAACAATGATTAGACAGACGGACAGACAGTTAGACAGACAGACAGACAGACAGACAGACAGACAGACAGACAGACAGACAGATAGTAAGTCAAGGAATTTATGCGGAGAGGGACGATTTCATCTTCAAGAAACTTTTAAAAACTCAATCAATACTATCCACTTACCTCGTAGTCAATAAGCATTTGCTCAATCAAATCTTTGTTCTCTTCCGTGTGTAGTCCGTCCACTGTGAGATTCCACTGAGCCAGACGCTCTTCCAGACCAGCAGTGGATGTTTTACGACGGCTGCGTATGTTCACGCTTTTTTCTGTCTCCTGAATCTTTTGTGCATAAAGTAAATCGAGGAACTTCCGTCGAGCTCGGGCCGCATCCATCACTGCAGTACAACCGGGTTCACGCCCGATCACATCGGCAAGGCGTTTGCCCAACTGTTCCATCAAATTTTTTGGCACCGTGTCTGATTGAGAATCGGAGTGGGATCGACTGGAACTGAGCAAATCGCGCATTTTTGTAGCATTCGAATTGTTTGGTCCAAATACTTCCTGCATTTTTTCGGAATCAGAAAGGACCAGCGTACACAAAAATGCATTGAACAGTTGTGTTTGTATTTGATAAAATTGATGCAAGACAGTGGTGAATACATCAGAGAGAATTTCTCGTGCATAGAGCGAAAGAAGCGTAAACTGAAAAATTAGGAAACACTACACAGCTGTTTCGACTTGGTTCGGACTCAGCAGCAGTGTGAATCCATCGACCGAACTGCCGATCGAACCCGGGACCTCACAGGCAGAACACAAGCATGTTACTCTCCCGACTACCGGGTTGCCGGTTACATCGTTTTTCACTTTCCATTTACACGATATAGCACGCTTCATTTTCTCTAGACACAACGAATTCCTTCGGAAACTGAATAAAATCCTCCATTACTCTCATGTAACATCATGCATACTCAATTTTACCATTACTATCAGATCAGTGTTTTTAAATGACACTCAAATTCAGTTTAAATAGACTGAATCAAGCGGTCTTTTTGAGTCTATCGATGGCCATTTTAAATGTACTGTAAAGTAACTGACTCCGAAGCGGGCAAACTCCTTTTTACTCCATTGTATTTGAAACATCAATCAATATATTCAATCATCGGATTTTTCGGAGATCAGATGAACTCTTCTAATCGATACCGGTTGCTTTAAAACTCACAGAAATTTGATCTAATTCCAGGTAGCATGCGCTATGCTGTCTGCGTTGCGTTCGTTTTTTATGTTCAGGGATAAAAGGTCGGGGGGATCAGAATGCCTTGTCACTGTACTGTATTATCATTGTACTCCTGAGTTTAAAGTTTGAATATGTTTTTCTTCGAGTTGTCAATTGTTTATTAATTTCCTCACATTTGATGAATGTTATACTCTGAACGGTTTACTGTGAAACATACACAGTAGTGAAAATATGCAAGGAGATCGTTGTTCTGAGATTTCTATCGATTCTTTCATGATTATGTCAGTTACTTGAAGGAAGGAAACGAAGCACGAGAACGTCCACATATAACTGAGGCGTAAATATTTCCCGATTATATATATATAATAAGTAGTATGTGAATGACTGGACAAAATTTCCCTGGAAGCACACGACCGGTTTCGCGTTTCTTGCCGCTCGTCAGGCATGCTTATCCAGTAATCTTTTGCCAATTCATTCATATACTTCTACCCAGGAAGTGTTGCAGTTAGTATCATCTAACCCACTTACAAAGCATCGAATCACAGCATTGATTCTTCATTCGACTGCCTCTGAAAGAGCTGGTTATCCAACGGCCATCAGGTGTTGCAAACAAGGTTGTTGTGGCAAACATATATATATATATATATATATATATATGTTCTGAACGTGGAAGAAAACTATCTTCGCCGCATTTTGCTATGCAATATACACAATATACAATATACAATATATACATTTTGCTATACAGCAGGATGGAAAACATATTGAACAACTTTTATGAAATAAATATGCATTTTCCATGGTATTTGTTCTCTCCTCCGGAATTCTATCTCCGACGTAGTTAGCAAGATCGTTCAACGCAAAAACGGCAGTTGGGAAAATAGCAAGAGGAGTTTTGCGTGGACCTATATTAGTGGATATTGTAGTCCATACTTAGGACATGTTTGAAGATTTATAATGATTATCTGTTTACCGAACCCTCTTCGAAAAATAGTGTGCATCTTAGACGAGTCATACGTTGGCCCGGTGTCATCATCGCTTGAACCTTTTCCCTTCTGAATTTCCCACTCGGTTCATTGTTTCAAAACTGATTCTCCTGTGGTGATTCTCGGCCAACATTTAAGCAGATTCAGAACTTATCCCTCTTCTATGCCGGCCCGAAACCACACCTTGTCTACAACCGCGAGTCTTTAGCAGGCCCAGTGAACTTCGATTGTACAGAGGGCATGCTATCATCACACGAATGGAATGCAAGTGACAACAAGAGCATCAAAAAAGTACAAAACAATGTGAAACGATGAAGCAATCACCCTATCGTACTATCCACACAGCAAAATGACACCTTAAATTGATATTCGGACATCTTAAACTGGAAAAGGTATAGTGAATGCATCTGTCTACCAGTGTTCGCTCCATTTGCATACTTGGCGATAGACTATTTCACAATATAAGTTATGCCTTGTTATTATTGCGTCAATTATTAATTCAATAAACGTATATTATCGAGTTCTTGTTATCTGAAATCGGAATTAGGTATTATGTCCCAGTTTCTAACCTTCTGAATGAGGTCTCAATACAGCGAGTGTGCCAATATTGATCGATAAACGAAATAGCATACGCGACGGATTGCACCCTCATTCCTACAAGAGAAGATGTCAACACATTCAAGTCAACGAAAGACACACACAGATCTGAAAACTGGTTGCTAGTATGTCTATACCACATTACAGTGCAATACAATACAGTGACTTATTGATAAACTACCCAGTCAGTACACACACAGTATGGCACCAGACGAGGCAGGTGTGCATTGGATACAATCACTGGATGAAGCACGGAATCCTCATCACTGCTATAGTTGGACAACTTTTGAAAATCTTTTCAAGCATGAAATAAATTGTAACAATCATTTGGTTATCTTGACTCATTTCGTCCATGAGTTATATATATATCACGCTATTACTCATGAGTAGGTTTAGACATTTCATTGACTCATTATAACAGATCCTATGATTAAATCTTTTACTAAAAGCATACCTTTTCCTCTTCAATCAGTTGTTCCACTTTTTGCAAGGACGGTGGTGAGTTCGGTGGATCAGCGCTACTCGGTCTCCAGGACTCATCTCGTTGTCCGACGACGGCTATACGTTTACTCGCTGTGCCCGATTGATACCACGATCTGGCGGTAACTTTGAGCCACTGTTCTGCTTGACAGATCCACCGCGCAACCTTGCCCAACTCACCCGGCACCATGCTGTCCAGTTTCCATCGCCACGTGTCCAGTGTATCACGCAGAGAGTTGAGAGCTTCACTGGCAATTTCCAAATCGCTGGTCGATTTTGAATTATTCGTGGAGGCCTGTTCCCAGTCTGCTTCTAATTTTTGAAGCCACTTTATATAGCTTTGGACGGTATCTACATTTTGTAAATATTTCTGTTGATAGAAAGTGCAATGCAAGCAAGCTTGGTTTGAGTGGTAGAGGAAATTTATTTGACAAACGACAGATCATCTTTGAATAGAAAATAATCATGTGAGGAGGGTGTGGGGGTGAATCTAGGGAACCCAGAACGCAAAGGGCTTTGCGATAAGGCACCCACATTGTAAGTACTACTGTTATAATTCCTGAAGGCTGGTCTGGTCCAGGATACTTGTTTATTGAAGAGTTCAGATGGGATATGACCAATTTGGCATACATAACACAGAAATCTTTTCAGAAACATACCATCACAGATTCTGGCCGGACAACGGGTTATGACTGCAGCAAACGATAGCTGTTCTTTGAGATACAGCAATTTGCTCTCGGTGGTCTTCTTAACTTTTGACCGTTGAAAGTAATCATCTACTATTTTCCATAGTACTCACGACGTGGGCAGTACCTCACAACATTGATATATACGTCATTAAGGGTATTACCAATTCTTTTAACAATATACTAATAAAAATGTGAGACATGACTAATGAAAAGTTGTGCAACAGTTGAAACGGAGCTAGCTAGCGTGAATCGTTCAAAGTGATCAGTAATGTTATCGAACTGTGAAGGTTCCTATGACGTAACAACTCACCTAACCTACTTATAAAGGCATGGGATCGAATTGAAACTTTACTGCTGTTGCTATCCAATTTGTTTACCAATGGGACTTGTGCATAAACAGTAAAAGTGTCACTTGTGGATTCAACCAAACCATTCATTTGGTTTGTTTGTTACTGCATCAACTGGCCCACCTGATACTGTTCATCCAGGGACACATTTTTCCGATTGATTTCCACGCTAACTGCTGCCTCGGTTTTCCGGACCGCTGCGATTAGCTCGGCAACACTTTTCACCTCCTCCATGGACGGTGTGAAATCTGGAGCATCCTGCAATGGCATTGGGACCAGAAAGAGAGAGAGAAGCAATCAGATAGATCTAGGAGTTCCGAAAACGATTCCAGAATGATTCGCAGTAGAGTACGATTATGATAGAACATGTCGAATCCAGAGTTCACAAGGAGCTACACTATTCATTTCGGGGAATGCGTGAGCTAAACCTCCGGATTAGAGAACAAAATTAGGTTTCCCTGGGAGAGAGGTGCTACGGGGTTAGGTAATGACGAAGCCTTCTACCAGCGTGTCATCAAAGTTTGAAAAGATAAAAACGGCTACTCCTTCGTGTTACTCAAAAGCCCAGTCTAACTTACGATGGTCTACCGGGAAAAAGAACTGCTTCAAACAGAAACTGCCTTTTGAATATAAGACTGGTTAAATTACTACGCATAAAGTTATCATGCAATACAGAAGGTGTAACCTGGAGATGGAATTAACAAAACTTTTATGGCGTCAAACAGAATAACCGATTTTGTTAAGTTTCACACTTTTTTGATTTAGCTCATCCAAATTCACAGACAGGTATTATTCCTGCCGTCAAGAACAGTGTGCGATGTATGGGGAAACTTTGCTAAATAACTGGCAACGGTTTATCCGCTGTGTATTGTATATCCTTAATATAGTCGCAAACTAAAGTATTTAAACCAATTCGGAGCATACAAGAACGAAATGGTGCCTGAATTGATAACAACCATGTAATACATCCTCTACGTCATCTTCCTTTCATCCGTCATTCGCTTCTACGGTTGAAACTCATTACATTATTTGTTTTTCTTTGCGGTGTTACGAAATGGCTTGTTGCGTTATGAATCTGTTTGACCAACCTCATTTTCCAGTCCGCTGGTCCTCGCTTTTCGTGAAACATCCGTAAACATTGAAGGTATCATATTTGACCAATTTAGAAAAGTTACCATAGTTTAATTTCCAGTTTGTACAACTGATAACTATGCACTTTCGTGTGCTCATTTTGGTTGCTAATTTTTGGCTATCCATTTGAATGAAGCAGTAGGAGAAAGACAGGAAAGTTGATGTCAATTTAAAGAGAAGATAGAGGATTCAAATAGAATGCGGTGACAAGAATAATGAGTAGATACGTGAACGCCATTGTTTGCGACATCCAGCCATATCACTCAATGTCTCCAGTCACCGGTTGTCATGATCTCGGGGTCCCCATACTGACAATATTTATGTGACCCAGTGTCATGGCTAGGGTATTCACATCCTCAAGTCAAGTTTGCGTTGGCTTTATTCCACCCACTACATGCCTCGGCAAAAATCTCGCGCCGTGGAAATCTACTTCTTGATATACGCCAAACATATTCCAACTAAAGCAATCTATTGGAATCCACCATTTGCTTCAGTGGGTGACTGCGGTTACCTAAAACTCAGCGCCTAACCTCAGTATTACTCGTCCGGCTGCTTCACCAAATTCGTGCAATGCTACGTAGGCAGTGGTATTCTAAAATCGGCACTCTTTCTTTATACTGCCTCCTTAATGGCAAAGTTTTTGCGCTGTATAACGGAACTGGCTGAATTGCTGCAGCATACGCTAGACTCTTCACAGACAACCGGATGTCGTGACGGCGCCACAGATGTCTCAATTTAGCAAATGCCAACCGAGCCCTCTGTATGTGAGCTGACACTTCATCCGTGATGCGTCCTCCGGGTGAGATGTATCTGCCCAGATGACAAAGCGTATCTACGTGCTCTATTACTTTCCCAGTTAGAGTGAGGCTGGGTGATTGACCAACCCAGTCTTGAAGTAACATTTTACACTTTGAAGGTGCAAAACGCTACATACACTAGCATTCAAACTATCCAGAAAAGCTTGTAACTTACCTGGATCTTTACTTAGTAGCATAATGTCGTCTGCATACTCCAGATCAGGAAGTAAACCGATGCCGCTATCCTCGCAGGAGGTTAGGACTGTTTCCATAATGAAATCTATAACAAAGTTAAATAGCCAGAGGGCAACCTTGACGAACACCATTTCCCGTGGGAAAAAGTGCCTTAAGCTCGAACTCGTTTTCGGCTAGTAGTATAAAGGGATCGTATTATTGATATAAACTTCTCAGACACACCGTTCAGGGAAAAGTAGTGCCAGAGTTTAGAGCGGTCAACTGAGTTGAAAGCCGCTTTCAGATTGAGGAAGATAAAGATCGTGGGTCTATGAAAAGAATGTCAGTGCTCAAGATTTTAACAAAGAGCGAGGAAAGTTATCCGGCTTGATAGAACATGTATCCTTACAAAGCTCAAAAACAATGGTTGGGAAACGGTTGAAGTGTTTGTGGTTCCAGACAACGTACCGTTTTACCGAAAATATTTAACTGAAAGTCAAATTCTTCATCCACTTCCCACTGTTCATTTTAAAAATTGTTTCTTTTATTCCCCCTTCCCGACAGCGATCGTCGGAGATTTGATAAAACTGATATATTTGATGCAACAGTGTTTGAACTGCTATGATATACTGTAGCATTAATCATTCAGACAAAGATTAATTTCTATCGTAGACAACTGTCATCTAGCAGTCCAGGACACTTTGCAGTATGGAATGCTATGATAATGATTCGTGTAACGATTTGTTTCAATCCACTGCCCGCAAATGAAAATCTCCGAATTGGCAGGTCTCAATTGTCAGGTTCATAACACGGGATGACATACCTGGATTCATCATTATCAAAAGAAGCTATTTTTCTATTCTGCTCTCGAGTTTTAAAACAGTTATCGATGGATTACGAAACATTTTCAAAGTAAATCAATCATGAAACATAGTGCTAGGATCAACACCATCTCCACCATGATGTCCTATTGGGCAATTATTTGGTTCGCTGCGTCAAGTTCCAGGACTTAGGTGTCCGGATCCTATCAGTGAATAGTAGATCCTCGTGCCCAGGGGGTTGATCCCTATTACTGTTCATCGAGAAAATAAAAACATATGTAAACCAAGAGAGAGAGAGAAATTAATTTACCGTTGTTGTTTTGCGTTTTCCGGCATCCGGATAAGCTTTGAAAAATTGTGCCACATAAGTCATGATCGATTTCTCGTCCGGTCGATCGACATCCACATCTGTGAATCAAATAGGCGAATTAGAACAGAATAGAATTTGTTGCTTTATGGATGTAAATAAATTGCTCTGGAAAGAAGCGGTAGCAGTAACTGAGCAGCATGGATCAGGAACGACTATTATACAGTCTGTATAATTGAATCCTAAACCGTGATCCCATTCCATCAATAACTGATCGTCAAAAAACTCATTAACAATGGCAAAAGCTTACTGATAATATTTGAATGATTGGTTACAGTATCTGACAGTTTGATGGAATGGTGCGGGTGAAAATATCTGAATACTGACATGCGATTCTTACTTTCCATGCGAGAAAACCCCCAACGTGAACTGGCTAATTTCACTCGGAAACACAAAATGGGATAGAACCCACGTTCCGATCGTGAGAGAATGTGGTGGGCATTCGTTTGGACTACATCAACAGTTAGTACGTCGAGTGGTTCTGATTGGTTACCACCTTCCGTATNTGAGGCCGTATTCGTGCTACAGAATAGAAAAAAATCTACATTGCTTGGTACATGTATTGCATGAGCCTAGAATTTTCGGTTGATCTGATCAATTCGATTTTACAAATACCAGACATGGACTGTGCTTATCTTTTGTCACAAATATGATGCTATCCTATGAAGTGAACCCTCCTATCCCATTAAAATTACATGATAACTATGCATGATGTTTGTAGAATCAAATAAAGATAACCCTAGCACAAAATTCAAAATTGATATAGCAGCTTTCTTTAGCTATAGCTGGCGTTACACGTTCGTTCACAGTCCCGCGAATGAATTCCAAATCGGCCGGACAAGGTGATTCACTGCCGTGCTCCGTCACAAAAGACCTTTCGATTATGGGGGAAGACAAATCAAAAGATTTTTTGAATTTGAATGTGGAATAGTCAGATGTTGCAACCGGTCAGGGTCTATCGCACTACACAACGCATAACCTGACGGCGTCCAAGATTCCGATCCAAACGTTCGCACCCTGGTGCACTTGCTGTTGCCATTTGTGGCGTGATGGTTGAGGAGGAGGGGGAGGGGCGAATAATGTGACAGCTCATGACTCTTATCTGACCAGAAACAAGCTACTGTTTCATTAGGGGTGGGTCAGGTGGTGAGGGTACAACTCAACTCAGATCCAAACCCAGTAGAGAATGTTCGACGCGTTCTAGCACAAGTCCAGAACTGAAATGTGAGAATATAAAAATAGAGCTATAAATCAGAGGCCGCACTAACTGGGAGAAGGATTGTCTATTGGCAATAAGGTGTTCGATACGCTTACTCAGAGTAGTTCCCAAAAGTGTGACGGCCTCTTCTGGCATCATGAACGCTCAACGCAATACTTATTTCATTCACATTTAACTCACAGTTAGTTGTGAGTAGTGGTGTGTGATAACTAAATACTGAGTTGAACTGACTATCCTTCGAACTTCACCTTCACGCATAATCCCCAGTTCATCCAGAGCGCTAGTAAGAGCGAAACTCGAGTCTATTGTTTTCGAGTACATGGTTCAAACCAATAGTTAGGCGATGGTGGCTCGCTTTGTATTTTATGGTCCAAAGTTCGAGTCCCGCCACCTCCTTCCAACTTTAAGGATAGGCAGCTGAGCTGTCGTCCGGTTCAATACCACACCCAACTTATCGGGGCCTTATGTGGTTCACCGCTCCGAGTCCTGGGGCTTAGGTTACCCCATTTTCCATCACTGAACAGCAGGTCCTCATGAGCATGGGGCTTCCCCCGTCACCTGTTTATCACAAGAAAGTGTGTAATAAGAAAATGAAAAAAATTTATTGGATTCTGGAGGGGAATTGTCAGTTTGTCGTACTACTTTTTAACATCTTCTTTTCTATGCACTATTTATTACGAGCTGAGTTGCAGAAATTTCATATTCAGGCTTTCAGACGGACTGCCGTAATGCTACAGATACGGTCTATTTTGCCCAGTCCAGAAGTGCGGATACTGCTCATAAACCTTTTGTCCCAGGTTGTATAAAGAGCAACCCATTCAATAGTGAATCTCATTTCTTGGGTATAGTCTCAGCGAAACAATAGGCCATACATTCCTCCTGTAGCTATTCTCTTAGAACGTCAACCTTTCTCACAATACGGTACCATGACATGAATGTGACTGACTGATAGCTCTATACTTGATGATATTTTATACCCTCGGAACGCGGTATGGTAGTTTCAGTATATTCCGATATGGAAAAACGCCTAATCTGGGGGCTTACCTTCAGGATCCAGTAATCGTGGAATGCCCAAATGTGTCTCTGCCTGTGAGAACGCATACTCTAAATTTTCCCGGTGACTTCGTTGTTTTAATTCGTCCATTTTCACCAGGCGCGAATCGATGTTATGCACCATCGCACTGAATGCGATCCCATCACGCCAACTTGGACCGAAGTCATTCACTTGAACCTCGTATTTTCTGTAATAAATGGATATTTGTGTTGAAAGTTTGTTTTATTTTTGCCAAGTAGAACGATTTTGATGTCAGTTAACAAAAACTGACATGCGTGCCAGGACGTACAAAAGATTTTGGCGGCGGATTAGGATGCAATTACGTATATTTGCTCATACAGAGCTGTTCACTTCTCAAAATTGTGCACATTCAACATTCAACTACTCACGAGTAACCTGGAAATGGTCACCAGAAACTTACGATAACCCTGGAATCAAGTGACACGATCTTAATCTTCTTTCCTGCGTGTTGTCTTCCTTTTACGGCTCAGTATGATTTGACCCTTCGGTTTCCATTACTTAAACTTAAAAAATGTTATTTTCTTCGCCATGACCATGGGGATCAGATTGTGTTGAATTGATGAAAACACTTCTTTATTTTGACGATGGTTTCAAGTGGTTATTTGTCATTAGAAACAGTGCTTTTGGATTATCGAAGTATCGACTATCTCAAATGATTGATCGTAGGCACTAGAGTACTCTGTTGCAGTGATTGTTTGCAGCAGCGGAAATGCAATTTACCCAAGCTGTGAACAAGAATGGAATATAATTTCCATACACACATGGTCCATGGGTACAAAACTTACCTAGTCATTTTGTTTTCTAAATAGTCTGTGTGGCTTTCTTTGTCATTTAGTACTCCATCCAGTTGACTTGACGGTCGTATAATCGTAATCGTTTTCCTTCAGCACATGTTCAACTCTCTGTGTTTAACTTATAACCTTTTTCTAACGACGCTCAAATACCAACCGCTGAACGTGTCAGTTGTTTAAATTAGTGTTGTTCTACTATAATTATTTTGGTTGAATTTAAAATATGCCTTTCAAACTACAACAGTTTCAGTCCTGGTAATCCAAGTAGCGTCAATTCAAATAGGCCATGTGACCGCTATGGAAATGACCCAATAGCTTTGTATACTGCAATAAATAGATGGACTAAATATCTTGACCCTTAAGTTACTTGGTGGTTTGGATTTATTTGTGCACTAAAACCATACGGTTTCCTCTATTGTGATAATGATTATCCTATTGGATAAACGAAAATAATTGATAAACAGATAGCGTGACTTCCCCAGTGTCACATTTAACAAATGATCAAGCAACCTTGACTTACGTGAGTATCACGTGAACTAAAATAGTATCTGCAAACGTGTCGACGGTGAAACTAAATAGAACTTTCAGATCACAGATTACCAGAACAAAACTAGGCATCGCCCAAACCAGACTATACAAATGTAGGTTACAAAGTACGCACTGTAGAGATCACAGTTGTTTCCTCTCCCCCCCCCCCCCCGTCCTCCTCCTCCTTCCCATACCCCGCTGCTCATCAAATTCCCATTGGTCAAGTCTTTCTGAAGCATCACGTGTTCAAGACAAATTGGTGCGGCACCCCTATTCGTCTCAGATGTGTGATGCCTCAGCAAGGTTTATCTGATGGCAGTTAAGGACGGGCAAACAACAACAACAACAATAACAAAATCTTAATAAATCGACCTGGAAAAAACAGTTTCACTGTGGCAAAATGAAGCTGCAAATCAGAACAATTTTGGGGGTAATACAAACAGCTGTCAGTATTTGAAATTTTATTTCTTGCCTCAGTTCGAACATAGCTGATCAAAATAAACCGCTGATCCGGACGTAGCCAACAAATGGCTATTCGCAGATCGATTGCGGTATGAGAAATGCATTGGACTGCCACTGGTAGATCGAAAGCAAAAGCGGTTTCAGTCCGATGCCGCCCAAACCTTGCCGATTGAAATGCAATATTCTCATCACAAAAGAAGGTGATTGCCATTGTGAAATATTAAACAAAGAAGCAGGTGCTTGGTGTTCACACGCAGATAAACATTTATTAAAACAAGAAGCCAGATAAGAAAGCGACATGGAATAGGAACACTGTTAAACTCACTCCCGTACATCTCTGCGTTGGGTGAGGAGATTGTGATTTAAGATTTAAAAAGAATCAAACCCAAATTGGGGAAAACATCACGGGCAAAGTGGGGAGGCGAGCTAGTAGATCTACGACGAGGAGGAGGGGGTATTCATGTATTGTAGTGTTTTGCATAACTTTTCATATTTCCCAACCATCTTCAGTCATCTGTTCCTTAAAGTCCTCAGTTTCTAAGAATAGCTTAGTTGCATTCTATGTATATGTTGTACTTTCCTTTACGAGAAAAGCTCCAAATGTTTAGAAAAATAACATTTATGGCTGACTAATAACACAAGTGAAAGCAATGTTATTCGAGGGCCATAGTTGTTTGGACTCTGTGGGTTGTCTGAGCAGGTCAGACGTCAGGTTCATTCTTATTGTCGTGAGGTACTACTCAAATTTATGATTAGCATGCAAAATGGTTCATAATTCCTTTCGAGGACCAAGAGTTAAGGAGACTACCGAGGGCAAATTGCTTGATCTCAAATAATAGATACCGATTGCTACATTCATTACCCGGTGTTCTTCCGGGAACTGCGATGATAGGTTTCAAGTGCGATTTACGTGTTATGTATGCCAAATTAATGCTTTCCCAACTTTATTCTACAATAAGCAACTATCCTCGATCGAGCACCTCCTTGTGGAATTATAACACCAGTGAAAACCGGGCTGAAGTGATGAAGACTTTTCAAAGAGCGACATCATGCACAGACCATCTTTCGCAAAGTCTGATCACAAGTTAAGGACTCTTGTTGGCCAGATTACCGTAACACGACAGTTCTAGTGATAACATGAGCTGGACACGAATGAGATGAAACGCTAGGAGTGTATTTGTAAGAGTTACCATAATAAGTGTTCACGATTGTCGGGAAGGGATAGGTGCGCACTGTTGGTTAAACGATCAGGAGAACAAAAGGATGAACTGTAACGTTCATGTTACATACGAAAATCCTAAGAGCTATGTTCAACACAGAGCCAAAAGAATTTTCCCGTCCGAATATGACCCGATAACCTGGTTCGCTGTGTGTGGATGACTACATTTCGTGAATGCCTTCCACTGGAGTGAGTAATGTATAATACTTTATATCATAACAAGATAATTTAAAACTAGGTATATATAGTTTATTTCGAACTAGATTGTTTTTTATATGTTTACAAATTTAGGAGCAGTATCCAACTAGTATGTTGCTTCCCGCTCATCTGATGGCTCACAAAGTGATGGTTACGGAGCGAATGAAAGTAATAGAAAGTTCACAACATACTAAACTTACCCATTAAATATTTCCTGTACCCATTGTTTTAGTATTTGCTTGGCAGAACCACGATTTCGAGATGAACTGGCTGGAAGGCCGAGGATTTCTAAAAGAATTTCTTCTTGTTCTTCGATCTATGAAAAACCATTTGAAAATGCACACAAGGGATAACTCTAAAATGGTCATTAACGAATTTCACTACTCAATAATGAAAAGTAGTTCAGTGAGTAATGCAAAACTGGTGCGAGAAATTCCCGCCCAATGTTGCCTAACGAAAATACCCTGGCAAATTTTATGGTTTCCCTGTTAGCATTGATTCCAGTGTATACTTCTTCAATACACTCGATTTTGTTCAAAACAATAGATCTTAAGGATGAGCTGGGAAACATCTTCGTGATGCTTTTTCCTCAGGCCTACTTTCTCATCTTTCAGCAAGTGTCGGCTTTCGATCGGAAAGTAATTTGTCCGTCCTTTGTTTACCTATTTAACACTGGAACTACGAGGGTAGTCACGATCATACCAAAATCACTCAAACCTGAATAATATTTCTGTATTTCGTAATAATTCGTCTAAATTTTCCTTTTTATCCTGAAGATAGGTTTGCCAAGTTTCAACCAAATGTCTGGGAAATCCGTCTAGCGCTTCACGTTTTACGAACTCACAAATACATCTATGGGAAAGAACGACGTGAACGATTCCAAATCTACATTGGTCGGTGTTTTGTGATCATTC